ATAGATTTTTAGTATTATTTAGCATTAAAGTGTAACAAAAAGGGTAAACAGAATAAATCTGCAAGTGAGTAAATAGCTTCTCTTATGCAACTCTGTCACCAACATCAACTGGATTCACTTCATAAAGATGAGAAGTTGAAATGAAAAGCAGAAGACATAACATGCAGATTTTCTAACATCAGTCAAGTAAATTAATCTGGTAATTGACTTGAGAGAGTAAATCATGCTGAATAATTAAGGCTGATTTACAGATTTCTCTTTAATCTCTATTTTAAGCATATCGCGATGTTTAAAGCTAGATGTATTAAAACATGTGGATCTTGCTGTGCATTTTCTCCCTGTGGGCGGCAATGAGTCATGTGAATCTGATTCTAGATAAAAGACTTATTTTTGATTCCAGGTCTTTATGAAATATCATTGCAACTCACTGGCTTTTCGTTGTCTGTTGTTTGCAGTGCATAAGCAAACCGACAACTGCAGCCTCTTGCATAAATATTCAGCATAAAACAGACAGCTCTCTTATGTTGTGTGGATGGGAGCTTCAGCAGTCGACTGGTTTTCTGCACATGACGGACAGTCTGAGCGTGGAAACCTGACTGAAAGCTCGATCACAGGAATAAGCTCCATGTCTGAATCTCCCCCCAGCTGACGCCCAGCAGCAATTACAACAAATCCTAGTTTCTCTTCTGATGATCCGCCAGGGTGAGGGGGGAGGCCATTAATGCTTGCCGTTGCACTATGCGCCTTTCAGTGCACGCTAATTTGACGGAAAACACAATTGTGTCGCCGCTCGTGTGGAACATGTTTTCTCATGCCTAACCAGGCTGCGAGGTCATGGCTGTTACACCTGTGACGAGCCTGTTGTGGGCGCGCATAGAAACCTGTCAGCATTTAAGGTGAAACTCTCTCAGCAGCTCTCCTGCCTGCTTCTTTGATGCTTTATTTTTGCTGCATCCCAAAACTTAGTCACTCTCATCCCTGCCTGGTTGTGTAATCTGTGGGTGTGTGCAGCAGAGCTGAGGAGCTGTGGGGTCGGTGGGGCAGGTGCGGCGTCGCTCCTTGGGGACTGTAATGGGATGAGGCCTTGGCCAGAATGAGTGTTTGATGACAGAGGTTGCACCCTTCCCCTGAGAGTCTGTCTGCATGCAATTATCCTTCTGATCCCTCCTCCAAATGTCCTCGACATTCCCTCCTCGCAGCTTCAATAGCCCTTAATTTCCCATGGAAAATTCAGCTCCATGGAGCGCTGAAAGATCAAGTAATTACAGCTTCACATTTCAACGCAGCATTGGAGTAATTACTGTTTTATGACAACCCTCCCTGCTGCACAGTCCCTCACCTGAGGGCAAATAAATTCACATAAATAAATTCCCTTGCTAATTGCTTTATTAGTGGAGAGTCAGACAACCGAGACTTGCAGAAAAAAATAACGTTATAAATGAGTGTTCTCCACCCACCATCACATAATTATAGTTTGCAACATATATATAAATTTATATAAAGACATTTGTTCTTGCATTTGCTCTTGGTTATCCTCCTTCAGCATGAGACGCAGCCAGCATGGTCAAACAAAATAAATCCTCCTTCTGTTATCTGCAAATATTACCAATTGTAGGATTGTTTTCTTCCTGTTCAGTTCCCAGTACCACCAATGCTAAAAACAATAACCTGAGGTAATTTCAGTCCTTCTTTAAACATTCCTTAAAGATATTATTACGTGTTTGCCGTCCACATGGTGCCATTTATTCCACAATTATGTAACTATTTTACCCCCAGTTGCTATAAAAATGTTGCATTTGTCAAATATGACTTAAAAGAAAATTGACTTCAAAACTGAAGACCTCTGTATCTGTAATAATATCCAACTCTTACTAAAACTCCACCTTCAGGAAGTCATCACAACATTGCTCCACTATTAACCCTCTAACAGCATTTTTACCACCATTTCACTGAGAAGTATCTCCTATAATGAACTCAGCTGATGAGTGGTTCCAACAGGTGTTTGCTAATTGCTGCTGGCTAGTCTGAAGGAGCTGAGTGGGGGAAGCACAGGTAAATTACACACACTGCCCCTGATTTTATGTTATTTTTGTTTGTAAGAAAATGTATTTCTACTCACTTCACAATTATGCACGGCTCTGTATTGGTCCAATAAAATACAATAAAGTCTGTGGTTGTTTTTTTAGGTTTGCTGAATATAAACGAATGTGATCCAGCTGTTGTCCATCTAGTTTCACCTCCCACATATCAGATTACACTGACACCTTCATAGAGACTCGCAATGCTTCACACACAGAGGTTCGACATGAACCTGATCGGATAATGATCGAAACAGCAGAAAATTACATATTTTGAGTTATGTTTGAAATTTGGTGTCCCCTAAAACAGCATGAATATTTTTTTCTTTCTTGAAAAACAGAAACATTTTATTTCAATTCACAATCAGGTTTCTTGAGTTATTATTATTGTTATTATTAGGGTTTTTTTTTTGTTTTTTATCTGATTCCTCAGGACCAACACTGAAAGACAAAGGAGATTTTTCACATTTTAAGCCTCCACAATCAGACATGACAGTTAATTCTCTAATGTTGGGTATATAATGAGATGACTTTTGCCTAACTAGCTATAAAAACCTACTTAATCTTGTCTTGCACTTCTGTTTCTTCATATTTTCAGCAGATTACTGGCTAAAAAAACCCAACCTTCCCTTTCTTTAAAATGCAAATTAGTTACTGTAACAACAGCTCCTCTGGCAGCCTTGTTTAACTTAAGAAACTAATGCAGAACAGAGTCCACATCTTCCTCAGAATTATTTTTTCCGTGGTGTCCATCATGTTCTGAGTGGGACACAGGTGTGACCAGGGGTCCCCCCCTCTCAATCAGAGCGGCTTAGGCGCGTGCCGAGGGAGGGCTCTACCCTTTCAGCAACCCACCCCCTCCAAGAAATCCCTATTCACTCCACCAGATGGTGGCTGGGTCTGAGTTTTAATGAATGTTATCCTCCGTGACCCTGTGGACGCCGCAGAACAGCAGTGCCCCCCTCTCAGCACGTCTCACTGCAGTTTGCCACCCCACGCTGACAGAGAACAATATCAGAAAGCAAACTGAAGGAGGGATGCTGGAGGAAATGCAAGAAAATACCCTGCTTCCCTGCAAGAATAGACTGATTTGTTCTCTAAAATGACATTGAAGGTTTTTACTCCTTTTCTTTCATACAAACTGATATTTTATTTCAATAAAACAAAAGGGAAATCAGGTTCCAGCTTTGACATTTATAGGCAGAGCATTTTCAAACCTTGTCATCTTGCAGTAAGTCAGTCAGTAACACATGTGAGTCATCGCCATGACTGCTCACACCTCCTGCCAGTTATGTGCGAGGCTGAGAGTAAAAGTGAGAACCACAATCTTCTTAGTTACAAGACTATATTAAAAACTCATTGGTTTGTTAAACTAAATTCTTCTTCTTTGTGTTTGTCCCCAATAGATCAGTCAGATTCCTCAGTCGTTGTTGGATTTCCTCCAGCCTGACCCATATGTTTTCATTGCCTGGAAATAAATTGGTTGTGTAGGAGCCGCCCTTGCCCACTGACCCTTGTCTGTCTCTACGTGAATTGCCTTTGCGGTGTGTTAAACGAGCCGTGGCTGTGTTGGTGTTTCCTCCTCTGCTCTAATCCGCCGTCTGACAGAGACCTGTCACACACCGGCTGACCGAGGGAGAGGCCGGTCTCACTAATTGATCCCTCGTCCACAGAGCTGCTTCGACATGAAGGTGAAGTCTGAGATGTGCAAATTACCAATCCAGTCACATCACTGGCTTGAAGTCAATCACAATGTATTGGTTTGGAGCTTGCGGCGCTGGAGGGGATGTTGACACATAGTGTGAGAGAAAGGGAAAAATCATTTCTGGAGAATGTAGTTAGGAAACAGTTGAATGAATCCAGTGAATTATTAAACAAATGTATATAGAATATTTTAACTATAACCTATTGAAAAACAATATATTGTATTAGATTTAGGTCAAGGCTATTCTAAGATAAAAATGATTTCATCTGAATTCTAAAAAAAACTCACTCAGCTTTTTTAATTTTTTCACGTGTCTCAACTCCTGCCAAAAAAGTTTGTTAATATTTCTTTAAGCAAATAGAAACAAGCAATATTCCATAATGTAGCATATACTATGGATCATAATTAGTCATTCTGCAATACTACAGATAAAGTGATGAGTTTTGTAAGGCTATTAAACCTGTTCTACAGTTTTTCTTGACTGCTTTGACCTGCTTAAAGAAACTGGATTAACTCAGGCATTTACAATCTCAGCAGAGCAGAGATTGTAAATGTATGAACTATTTTTTATTGGTTTGACACGTTTTCCCAACTCTTTCGCTGAACAGTTAACACAGATGACAATCTAGCAATCCAAACTCCATTGTTGTAGTGATGGTAACTTAACAGAAATCCCTCGTTCCTAACTATCTGATTCTACCTACATCAGGATGAATCTACTGAAGCTTCACTTCACAAAGAATATCGCTAGTGAAAATGTATTTTACTCTAACATGTTCAGTTTTTTTTATTTCCTAATCTCTGATTATATTTTGGTTTACATTTAAAGTATTTTCTGTGATATTTACAGTGTTTCAGTTTTAAATCAGTCACAGTGTAAAAAAATATGCAATCAAAATTTGCACCAAAGCCTTTCTCATTCTGGGTCAAATCATTCATAAGAAGGGCAATTTGACAAAACCTATAAAGAGAGATTTAAAAAATTGTACAAGCATGAATCTATATGGGCCACATTGACAACCAGATGCTGTATTTTGTTCATAATGTAATAATTAATTGGAAGTTTATGCTTTGGTCTCAAGTTGTTCTGTTTGAAAGCAATATTTGCTTTTGTTTCATATTTTAAATGTTTTGCCACAGTTAAAACTATTCCTATCCACGCCAAAGTTCTGATATTGTACCTGCTGATACAAAACATAAGAATATACATAAATACATAACCTAAAAAAATTATTTATTGCCTTATTGTTCAATTCCACTTCATAAAAAACATTCTTGAACAATGCTCAACAATAGCAAACACCAGCATAATAAATATAAATAACCATAAATCAGTAGTGAACAGGTGCACTGCATCCTTCAGATGATCAAATGTCTTTTTATTTGTCTTATTTTTTGGAAAGCAGTTTATTTTATTTAATATTAACAGACATCAGGCAGACAAATTATCATGTAAACTTGATGGTATCTTCTAGTTCGAAAGAAACCAGAGGTCACTTTCTCAATGCCAACATGATGTCCCCCCACACACTCAGACCTCTGACATCAAAGTCTCCATCAGCAATCCTCTGTGTATTTAGCTCAGCCTCTATTTCTGTCCTCAGAGAGGGACAGGCCTCAAACAGGGTCAAATAATGCTCCGTCATTTTCTGGAAGGACACCGCAGAATTTGTAGCAGCGTGAACCCATTCGCCTTCTGTTACCCTGTACTCCATCTCCGAGGCCCACTTCTTCAGCAGCTTGCAGAACGAATCTCTAAATTTCTGGTGTCTTTCTGCTAAGTCTGCAAGAACCTTGGAAGGCAGCACAGTGCACACATGCTGCAGTATGCCGTGCCGACTCGTCAGCCAGTCCAGGAGAAAATCCTGAGAGGCGGTTTGTGCAGCCGAGTCTTTTGTCAGCAGAGCTGCAGCGATGACTGGACACAAATGCTCCGCTGCAACCTCAAATTCCTGAAGGACGGAGCTCAGAAAGTCCTCCACCTGGCAGGGATCGCTGCTCTGGCTCAGCATGGATCTCAACCTTTCCATCAACATCTCTCCCTGAACTTCAGCATCAGCACCAACAGAGGGTACGCCCAGGAGGGGACGCAGGACCATACAGGCAGATTTGCACTGAATGATCTGGTTGCAGAGGCCTCTGACGTCTTCATAGCCGCTGCTTGTAGAATCAGCAGAGGCCTTGGTTTCAAAAAGCATCTTCATGATGGAGATCGGCAATGCAGAGTTGTTCAACAGAAAGAGGAGCAGCAGGTCCTGGCAGCGGCCCAGATCCAAAAACGACACTGCGTTGTATTCTGGAAGAGCTTCCTTCAAACTGTGATTGGTGAGCTGCAGCTGCTTCTCCAGGACTCCTCTGATGACGGGGTTACCGTGGAACCTGCTGTAAATATGCTCACAGTACCTGGCCCAGTGAAAAGCCCTGGTCACGGTCTGCTCATCCCACTCATTCACCACGCCGCTGTGGGCGGCCACGGCCAGCAGCTCCACGGTACTGCCCACGTTTTTCAGCACAGCCTCCATGTGGCGCTGTCCGCATTCACAGCCCAGCCAGTGGGCTCCCGGTGTTTGGCACTGATGGAGGCAAAACACGGATTAAGCACTGAACCCCTAATGCCCCTTAACTCCCAGACACTCGTTTCAGTTCAAGAAAGTTAGCAAGCTAGCTAAAAGTTCCCCAGACGCAGCATCAGAAACGGTTTTTTACGAGAACAAAAATAAACCATGTTTTAAGTCAAGTTGTTCTACCGGCTAAAGCCCAACTATAAAAGAAGAATAAGACAATAAACATCATTGTTTTACTGTTATCAACTTACTTGTCTTTACTTTCCAATACCCGGGTTCCGTTTGTATTTGTGTCGCCTTTACTTGTGCGCATGCGTGCTGGACTCCTAACTTTTAGCCCTTCAAAATAAAAGACGACAAAATAAGATTCAATAAATAAATTAATTAATGAATAAAATAATAATAATAATAATAATAATAATAATAATAATAATAATAATAATAATAATAATAATAATAATAATAATAATAATAATAATAATAAATATAAAGAAGTGAAAGAAAAAAAGGCTGTTTTCTTTCTTTCTTAGTTTCTTTCTTCATGTCTTTCCTTTTTCTTGTTTTGTAAATTTAAGCACAAATCGAACATCTATCTATCTATCTATCTATCTATCTATCTATCTATCTATCTATCTATCTATCTATCTATCTATCTATCTATCTATCTATCTATCTATCTATCTATCTATCTATCTATCTATCTATCTATCTATCTATCTATCTATCTATCTATCTATCTATCTATCTATCTATCTATCTATCTATCTATCTATCTATCTATCTATCTATCTATCTATCTATCTATCTATCTATCTATCTATCTATCTATCTATCTATCTATCTATCTATCTATCTATCTATCTATCTATCTATAATGATAATAATCTGAAACTATTCACACATGAGAACAAACAAAGCGTTGATGTTTGATGTCCCCTTTAGCCAGACGAATCAGAAGACGTTACTTTAGTCTCACTCTTCAGCATGAAGGCAACAGGAGGAGGGAGGCTCGACCAGCTGGATTAAACTTCCCTCCCATCATCATCAGCAGCAGCAGCAGCAGCAGCAACAAGAGCGGCGTGCTGTGAGTATTTGTGTTTGTCTGTCAGATCTCCGTGCAGTGCGCTCCGAGGCAGACCTCCCTGCTTCACATTGCGTCAGTGTTTTGGAGAGTAACCTGTCCGTGGAAGAAGCATGAAAACTGGGATTCAGCAGCTCACAGGACGGGTGAGCTGAAGGGTGAGCCTTTGACTATTCAAGTCTCATGTCAGATCGATTCTTCTTTCATGAATTTGTTTTTAATTATTACCAAACTTGTTGTGAACTACAGAAATGTTCTAGCCAAAAGCCGGATGCTGGTCAATATTTCCTGAAGAGAAGATTTCTTTTATTTTGCTTCATTTCTCTAATGCAATGAGAGGCATCTTGAATTACTCAGATAATGACATTGTGTTACTTCAGCGGCAGTCTTTTAATTAAAGCGTTCTGCTGAATTTCAGACATCAGTCATTAGGCGTTCACCCTTGATCTTATTTCCAGACTGGCAAACTGATTGTTGTGGCTCTTTTTATTTGTCACGGTTGTAAAGATGGAGACAACTTAAAAAAAAAAAAAAGTTATTGCAATTTAGTCTTTAGAATAATTTTCAGAGTGCCTAGAGACCAGAAGCAACATCAAAGATTTCACTTGCAATTGAATATGTGGCTGCATGTTTAATGCATTTTGCTTATTGGATGATTTAGAAAACATATAATGAAGAATAAACTGATTTGTAAACTGAGGTTGGAAAAGCTAATTAGCAGCAAAGTTGTTCAAAGTACAAGAAATTATTGCATCTTAACAAAGAACTCTGTGTAAAATAGGAGCCGTGGTTATCTTGTGCATGTTCACATAATTCACTGTTTTTGTTCATATTTTATGCAGAAGAGTTTGTCCTGCAATGAGTTGCTGCAACAGCTGCTATAATCTGGTTTGTGCAAGCAAAGCTTATCTCCCATGGAAACTTTGCGGAATCCCCTAGTTAAATTGAATGATTCCACCTCTGGATGAGTTGGCCGTTGTAGAGGATGAAGAAGTGGAGGCCAGCAATGCGAGCGAACAGCACAGAGACACTTTTGTGTTTTGTAATTGATGCAATACGCAGTCAGGATTCCTATCTATATGCCTTTCCTGGAGCAATCTGCAACAACCGTGACGCTTTTTAATGGCTTTGCAGAAGTGCAGAGATCCTTCCAGAATGACAAAATGTATCTGTCCATTTAAATATCTTCTGAGATCTTAAATGTAAAATTGGCCTGAATTTTGCAAATTCAGCAGATGAAACATGTCTTATGGCAGAGTGGTGCTTTTTGGGTCAGAGGTCAAACAAGTCAACTAACACTGTGGTTAGAAGTATGTCCAACAGTGTTGCATTGAGAAACATGTGTTCTCATATTCTGGTCATAAATATCACAGTGCTTTACAAAACATGGAGTCTTTGCTCTAAAAATGTAATTTTTTTATTCTGCCTTTGCAGTGACATTTGCATATTTCAACCACAAACTTCAATGCACTTTATCTGGGTTTTACGTGAGTGACCAACACAAAGTAGGTATTAAAGGACTAATGTCCCAGAAAGATGTTCGTATTGATTGCTGCAATAGTATCTTCATGGGTCTGCCTAAAAAGTCAATCAGAGCTGCAGCTGATCCAGAATGTGAGCAGCAAATTTCATTGCTGCTCACAAACTAGAAAACATCCCAAACTCTGCCTTCCTTTAAATCAAAGCCCACTTGTTCAGAGTTGCCTTTCATTATTTTTAGCTAGATCATTGATCAATATATTTGATGGCTGCTTGATGATTTCAATGATGTCATTTGAAAAAATTGAATGTTTTTAAATGTATGATGTTTTAATGATGGAAAGCATTTTGAACTGCCTTGTTGCTGAAATGTGTTGTACAAATAAATTTAATTTGACTTGACAAAGTAAAGCGTAACTATCAAGTGGAGGGAAAATGATGCCTGGTTACCAAAATCATTCACAAATGCAAACCTGAAAAAGGTTTGTTACAGAACATTATAGAACAAGAGGAACAAGGATTGGAGCAGACAGATCAGGAATGAAGCTGTGGAGAACTTTCAAGCAGGGTTTGATGCATCCAGAGACTTAAAATCACATAGAGAAGTAATAAATCCATCACTTGAAAATAAAAAGTTTTTTGAGCCTTTCCACATCCTACCGTCCTCTTAACTGATTACAAGGAGAGTATTAATTATGTGTGTAAATCTAAGAAAAGTTTTGTAGCATAAATATTTCTCTTACTAGAACATTATAGTTAAAATGTGACTAAAATAATGCATATTTACATGCAGCACCCATGCAGGATCATGCATTAAGTTGCTTTTGTGATCTTGCTGCGTCAGCCGTCCACACATCTCACATGGGAATGTCGCACCTGCGTGTAAGTGCTGAGCCCCAGCGTTCAGTTTGTGTACGCTGCTGGAATCTGTCATCCTTGTTGAAATGAGATGACCTTGCTCAGACTCCAAGGTTTTTGATGTCTGTTTTTGTCACAGCAGTGTGATTTTGCTGCAGCGCGCTGACAAGGAACCTTGAGATGTTTCACAGCTTTTTGTCGTGTTTCTCTCTCTCTTTGCAGTGAGCAGGAATCCTCTGCCATCCTGAACTATATGTTTATGGCATTTATGTTTCCCTGTATGAAAGATGTGTTTTTTTGTAATTTGCATCATGTGCTTTTGCTTTTTGCGTGCCATGCAGTCATGTGAGATATTCCAGTGTGCATGGAAACCTTTGAAATGCACTCGCTTGTATTCATGATAAAAATAAGGCCTTCATTCCGGCTCTCTTTAACTAAATCATCAGAGTAAGAAAGAAAAAGGACAGCTGAAAACCTTGTGGTGCAGGTATTAATAGAGTGTGAGGTTGTCTCCTGTCTGTCTTCATCACAATGTTGTTCAGTTTACTTCACAGAGACAATCACAGCCTGAACTTTGTGGTTTCTTCCTCTGCTTACATCTGGAGGCTATTTGCTTCCTTAAAGGAGACAGCTGACAGAAAACTGAATGATTTTCCCGCAATAGCTCACAAAGTGAACTGGGTACTAGAAACAGATGTGAGAAATGTCTTGTTTATCAATGACATCACCGTTAAATGGAATGAAGTCCTTTTTTAAATATCAGCTTGTCTAAAGCTATTGATCCATGCAAACTCTGCTGCGGCGTTGACTATTGGATTGAGACAGACGGTGTAATAGACTCCATGACTGGTGGCAGGGCATACTCAAAGAGCTCTTTGTTAAATAAAACTGCTATTGTATGAGTCCAGCCCGTATGAAAGTGTCCGTTGTCCGATAAAGGAGGGAGGAGGAATGTATCTGTCTAACGCATTCAGGTCGGTGTAATCCATACTGGGATTCAACCTTGAGGATAAAAGCAGTCAGAATGGATTTGTTCCTTCTTTCCCTTCAGGAAAGTTGGCCTCATTAGCAGCTGTATTTCTCAAATCATTTAATACCATCAATTAATAACTGTGGTTGTAAAAAGAAAAACAAGGAAACTGTTTGTAATCTAATCATGATGGAATGGGATGAGATGTGCAACCAGCCGATATTTGATGTTTCACGCAGAACAAATGTAGACAAAAAAATTAACTTTCCTCGTCATTTCTCACAATTGGAAAGACAAAAGAACAAGTAAAGTGGAAGTGGCCTAGTTTTTTCAAGACTAAGAGACCCGTTACTCCCTGAAATTTGTTCTTATCTACTGAGAGTGAAACTTAAAACGTTTAAAATGACTGAAACTGTGGCAAACAGGGCCATGCAAGAACCAAGGTTTACAAAGTCTTAGAAAGACTGAGGAGGATGTCAGAAAAGGAAAATGTTAGAGAAAATGTTTTGTGTTTCTTTAACAAAATATTTGACTACATGCTCTATACCGTCATAATTTGGAGCCTTTTCAGCTTCAAACCTGTAAAACAGACCAAACTAAATCCTCCACAGGAAAGTCGTTGTTTTTATCTGTTTCTATCATTTTTGGCTCTTTTAAAATGGCAAAAATCTAGTATATTGTTATTTTATTTGCTACCTGAACAGGCTCTGAAGACCTCACATTTATCCATCTATGGATCTCTTTAAAACAGTCTGGTTACAAACAGTCCAGTCACCACAAGACTATGAATGCCTTGGCTGGGATTGTTGTAGTTTTCTATTCTTTTGGATTATGCTACTACAATAGATGATGTATTATTGTATGTCCCTTTGCACACCTTATCAGAGGTTCCCATAAGTCTGGATGATGCTGCGCAGATTCTGTAAAAATTACAAAAAAGTTTGATAAGCCAAATTAGAACTCAAATTTCATTAAATTAACACTTCAAAATAATGTCTCTTTCAGCTATTTCTGCTTCAGTTTCAACTTATTGTCTTGATGCAACTTTTGATTGAATCATCTTTGGTCCTCACTGTGCTCCAGGCCATCAGCAGGCGACCATGTGCAGCTCGCTGAGCCCAAAGCAGCTCTGCGGTCCGGGGCTGACAGACATGCACCAGTACCACCAGTGGCTCTCCAGTCGACATGAAGCCAGCCTGCTGCCCATGAAGGAAGACCTCGCCCTGTGGCTCAGCAACATTCTTGGTAGAACATTATTGATACTCATATTAGTCTGGAATAGACTGGTGAAAATCTTATCTGAGTATATCTTCACACTTTAACATTTTGCGTAATTATGAGTTTATTTGGACACAAACTTTTATTCTCTCTCCACATATTATGCTGTTTTGCTAATTCATTTGAAACATTGAGCTCTGAATGTGACTGTGCTGCAAAAAAAAAAAACTCTGCAAGGCTCCTTGTCTTGTCTTTAACATAATTTAAGTGGTAGTGTTGATCTAAACACTTCTGCAGGTGGCTGGAATCAATCTCTTTCTCATTACAAACCCATTTTCAAGTCAACAAACTTTGACCCTGAGTCAGTGTTCGATACATTACCTTAAAAGAATAATGAGCATCATTAGCTTTTCTTAAATAATGCAGAGCCACTGGTAAAGAATAAGCAGTATGGAGGTTTTTTGTGCTGCTCTTTAGTTTTTAATCACTGCAATAAGAAGTGAATGCATGCATCTCCCCAATCTAATCTGAATGAGATTAAAATAGGGAGCATAACCCAATGCAGATTTGTATTGTATGTCTCTGAGTTTTAGAGACATTAAAATTATAGTTTAGTTAGCTTTTTGGCTTTGTTTACTTCATATGTTTACCTCCAGTTTATAACAAACACTTAAAAGTACTTTATAAAACAAGCAGGTCTAATGCTGCTTTCCAGTTCAAATGAACAGAAATAAAGTTGAGATTCCAACATTGATCATAGAATTTCTTAGAAACATTGTTTTAAGATTTACTTTCCACATACAAACACTTTTAATTTGTCCAGTTTAGAGTTGCAGTGACCACATGTAGCACTGATTTTAGTATGTCTTGTAAAATAAATATTTTCAATTCACCGTTGTTGATGAAAGAAGCAGCCATTATGGATCTAAAATCCAACTTAGTGGCGTGTTACACTTGATTTTCCCAACTCAAAGTTGGGAAAAATTACAAGTTTCGATTACAAATCCAACATATTGCAAGTCACATCTGGTTTTTACTGAATTCATCCTGATTAAAAAAACAGTGGCATGTGTATAGTGTTCTGACTGAACTTTAAATCTGTGATGAATGTAGGTTGAAAGGGATCTGTAAATCACCGCATTCTGTTTTTATCTATATTTTTATTTATTACAGCTTCATTGGAATTGGGTTGTAAAAAAGTCTCAACTTAACTTCAGATCAGCAGCTGTCAGCTGACACTTGGACACTATTGGGCTTAAGCAGGACATTTATAACTAAAAACACATCAGAACTGATTCAAACAGAGGTGTCAAATATTCAGCCAGGGTTGTAACAGGTGCTAAATAAGGGCTAGAGAATACGGGCTAGAGTTGTTATTATTTTTAAATGAATATTAGTGGAGGTGTATGTAAATATTTTAGCATGTGTTTATCATCAGATATGACAATTTACTGTAAAGTTCTTTGGTGTTTAATCATCTCATCCTGCATAAAGAACAGTTTAAACGCATCAGTGAAATCCTCTAGTAATATGACATTCATTCCCATAATGAATGGAAATAAACTTCTAACCGGATCTGTAGATAATATTCAGAGATACTGAAGCGATGTTTGTGTAGCTATGTTTACTAACTGGGTGTTTCTCCACAGGACGTCCTCTGAAGTTATTTCTTACTTTCACTGCAAGCAGGATGAGTTCCTGTAACAGACTCCGGATTATGGGAAGCGATGTAGGACTAATCTTTCCTGTTATCTCTGGCTGTCTGTTTGCTCTAGAACCAGCAGAGCCAGAGACCTGGAGGCGGAAAACCCAACAGACGTCTTGGTTTTTAAAGCAAATGTGCTTTCGCAGAATGCATTGAGCTACTTTTTTTTTTTTTTAAGTTGTTTGCAGTTTCAGGTTGAGAAAGTTTTGGACAAACCTAACGGATGATTCATTTACTTGAGTTGACATATTTGTCTCAGGACTCTGTTGCTCTCACAGTAAAGGGTTAAGGGTCAAGCACAAGACAGCAACTTGCAGAAAATTTCTCAAGATTTCAATAGCCCTTTTTTTGTGCTCAGCTGCAACATTTGGAACTCATTAAACATGGAACCCCAAACCCCTCCTCTTATAAGAAACAGAAATGGGATTAAAAAAGAAATCTCTCCAGTTTCTTTCCACAGACAAATCCCCCACCCCCTGCCACTACCTCCTACTTCCCGATGACCTAACCGCAAAAGTATGGTCCTCTGGAAGTCAGTCAAGTGGACGGCACATGTTGATCACCAATATGTATGTGCAACTCTGCAGCATAATAAGGCTTTATTTTTGGGTAAACGTCGTCTTCCTCTGTGCCATTGGACTACCAGGAAATCCCCCAAATTCTTCCTAATCTATATTTTACACTCTGGCCTCTTGAGAGGTTTTACAAACCCAGCAGAAACAGCAAGGCTTGATCATTAAAGCAGTTCTGGAGAGTTGAAAGCATTACATCAGGCTTAGGAATGAACAGGAGATTGAATTTTATTCCTTTTACTCACATATATTTTAAATGAGCACACTTTTGATGGATTTATGGCATTGGACTGTCTGCGTGTCTTTATGTGTCCCCTGCTCAGGTCTGGAAATCACCGCTGAGAGCTTCATGGATCGGTTAGACAATGGCTTCCTGTTGTGCCAGCTGGCTGAGACGCTGCAGGAGAAGTTCAGGCAGAGTAATGGAGACCTGCCTGAGCCTGGCAACAGCAAGGTAGAGAGAAATCGGAGGATCGCAGTGCGATGGCGTGAGGCAGATTACGGTGAAAATACTCATTTGGAAGTTAAATGGTAGCTGAACGTGTTCCCGGACTTACTTTCATTCTGAATGATTTTGCAGATCAGTGCTCCAGAGTGAAAAAAAATTAATAAGTGTCCACTGATTTGATCAGATGGAACAAAGGTCACTTTGCTCTTGAGTCTTTTAGCAGCTCCTCTGAAACTGTTGATTAATATTTTGTAAGAGTTATGCTGCTCCAGTTGGTTCTCGAAGGTCACATTCTGCTATTTGAAAAACAACGAAATTCATTACAGGCGGCATCTCTGAACTCTTTCTCTGACAGTAAAACTGAATAAGCATTACAGAGCATTAAGACTGAAAATCTTCAGGCAGTCTAAGACTAATTTCTCCTGCAGATCTGTTCTTTAGTTTTTCACAGTTGATCTTGTTGCAACCACAAGTATGTGCTTTATTGTAATTTTATTTTAACTACCACAAATTAGAGCATAAATGTGAAATGGAAAGAAAGTGATCACGGGTTTAACTTTTTTTCTTTTTATAAATAAATGTCTTAGAAGTGTGCTATACATACGTATTCCTACCCCTTTACTCTGTTACCTCCCAAAAATGTTTTACGCAACCGATAGCCTTCTAAATTTTCCAGTAACAAAAACATTCACTCGAGTTAAAATTGACATTTTAAAATAAGCCTTTTTTCTCTCTGTCATTTCATCAACGGTAACACAATAGCACTTTGGTGCAGATTTAACCTGTTTTTAAAAATGCTATTTAAATAAATTTGACATTGACTTTGACACTGAGGGAAGATGCAGAGAAACACAACTCAGGTAGAAGAAATTGACCACCAGGTAGCGATCAGACATTTACAAAACAAATCTAACCTTTTTGGAAGAAAGCAAAGCAACAAACTGGTAACATCATGATATGGGGATGCATTGCTGGGTCATGGGTTCAAACATGAACAAGGAAAAACCGTAAATATATAGTCAGATGTGTAAGGGAATTATTTATATCAGAGTGTTAGAGTGGTCCAGTCAAAGCCCAGACCGTTGAGATTCTGTGGCAAGACTTAGAAACCATATCCTCTCTATCTAACTGGGCTTGAGCTATTTTGCAAAGACAAATGAGCAGAAATCTCAGTTTTTAGATGTAGAAAGCTAGTAGATACCTACCCCAAAATACTCAGAGCTGTAATTTGTAGCAAAAGCTGGCTTGACTGAATACAAATATCTTTCTTTCAGGCTTAGGGAAAAAAAACAAAAAAGAAAATCATATGACCAATTTAGGGAAAAAAACAAAAAAGAAAATCATATGACCAATTTAGGCACTATGATCTGTAATTAAATATATTCAGATTTATGATTGGATAACAGTGAAACATAAAAAAGAAGACGTTCAAGAGCTGAAAATTCAGTGACATCAACATGACCGATGAATACAAACTTTGCCAAGAGCTCCACAATTTAAAAAAATATACAGAAAGTAAAGGTGGGGGATGGGATTTTGCTGTTTCCAACAGGGTGAAATGAAGGGGGAAAAAAATCAGCAGTAGGGGCTTGTTAACTAGCGGGGCCCCACAGACCCTGGGAGAACTGAAAGAACTGCGCTGGCCGTTTTTTGAGCCTTCAGTGAAGGTTTCATGAACCTTGGAAGTAGATATCCGTAAATTAGCCCAACTATTTTCTGCTAATGTCAATGTGATTAGAGTAATTTCAGTTTCTTTTATAATGGCATATGTTTTTATGACATAAATGAATGGGATTTTTTTACTCAAAAATATAAAAAGTACGGATGTAAAATCCTGATTTTAATATAATTACAATAGCTTTAGTTAATTCTATCAGTTCAGAGGGAAATGAAGGCAAAGGATCTTTTGTGGCTTCTTCTGTGAGAGTTGTTGATGTTTGCACTGGAGCACTGCTGCTCTGATGACGGAGGGTCTCCTGATCTCAGTGTGAGCGCAGCAGCAGCACAGATGTGAGGAAACACTTGAGGTCAACGACCATGGGACAGGGAAGACACTACTGAACATAAAAGAGCACATTGATTGTTGAGAGCAGAAGAAAAACAGCAGAGATGTCTCAGGTTTTCAGATCATTTGCGATGAACATATGTTGCTCTTTATCCACAATTAAAAGATATGTCAGAGTAAATGTCAGAATCTAACAACAGAACAACATGCTTTGCACATTTCTTGCTCCATAAAGTTTTGTTTAATGCCACTTGAAGCTTTCCAAATCACCTAAAGAGCAAAAAGTTTGTACCCTTAGGTGTGTGTATAAGTGAACTCCAGTAGAAGTCAAGGCTTATCGGCTCTTGTGACTGAGCAGCAGGAACAAATAAATTAAATGTTGTAGACACAACAAAAAAAAAAAACTAAGATTTCTCACTCTTCATGCTAAATTCCAATTCAAAAACACAATACAGACATTATAAGTTCAGATTCGTGCTATGTGTGACTGAAAGCAGGATGTCACAAAAAGCTTTGAAAACTCTGAAATCTGCAAACTCCAAAAGGTTTGAAGCTTCACTTTTGAGATAGTTCAGAAAAGGCCAATGAAAACTGGTTTAACTCGGTAATACTAAACAGCTGGTGGGACCTTTCACTGCTAATTAGCTTAATTGCCAACAGATTAGTTACTTGATGAGCCAAAAAAAAAAAAAAAACAACACAAAGTGGTTGAGGCTTCTACAAATGGAAAAATGAGGGAAGAATGTTTAAGCAGCTCAGTTTTTTCAGCTTTCTTTCCTGTGTGTTCATCATCAAACTGAATTCATTCAAACTTAAAGTCCACTGAAGGTTTTAAACTACGTTCTAACTCAAAATGTGAACCATTTGCCTGGACTTTATTTTTTTTTAAAGATTTTGGTTTTTGATATTTTGTTAAGTTTAATTTTAAAACCAACAACTTCCTCTCTGCATTTGGTTCTCGCTCTACCGTAACATTAGCTGGAGTCCTCCAAACATATCTTGTTCCTGTGGCCAGACAGCTCAATCTTTTTCTTGTCTGTTCATAAAACGCTCATCTAAAACAAAGATGACTTGTTCATCTTGGCACATTCAATTTTCTGTGAGTATTGAGCTTGTTGGTTTTGGAGCAGTACTTTTTCTTAGTTAGCGCTCTCTCATCGTTGCAAGTTTTACACTTGCAACGATGTAAATTTGAAGATGTTTTACATTTCCTTGCAACCTGGATTATTCCTGGTTGCAAGGAATAATCCTTGCAACCAGGATTGCAAGGATTATTTACAGAATGCTTTACATTCTGTAAAGCAGCTTTACATCTGCTTTACGGAATGTAAAGCAGATGGATGAATCGTGAACTCAGCTGAGCGCTGCAACAGGACAATGATCCCAAATGTAAATCAAAACTGCTGTTTGAATGGAACAACCCTGGAAAAAAAAAAAAAAGCTTTAGCTTCAGAGAATGTGGACTTTGTTTGAAAATGTTATCACCTAACCAGTTTGCATGAACTTGTGGCCTGTAGATGATCACAAAATATGTGTTTGAGAACATTTTTAAAAATATCGATAAACATGCTTGCTTTTATTTGAGCCTGCTTGTATTGATTCTTCAATAGTGCAGCTATTTATGTTTTTTAATGGATTCACTAATTGCTGGGATGCCTCGTTAAAAACTTAAAATAATATTCTTCTTACCACAACCGTACATCCCTGTGGTTTTGAAGCATGATGCTGGTGATAAAATAGACCCGTTATCGCTGATCCACTTATTATTGTGGGAGAGAGAACATAAAATGTGCTGAACATAGACTTTAAATTTATTAAATCTGTTGTAGACAACACTATATTTGGTCAATAGGAAACACATTTTGAATATAATATGCATATAGTGGAGCATTTATCCATCTAGGAAAGAAAGCCCCACAGATCTCAAGGTGAGAAAACTTCAGATAGTTCTGCAAATGTTTTGATTAGGCCGCATCTTAATCACTCTGTAACTGGCCACTGCAATGTTGAGCAGACAGATAAGATATATAATAACACAAGCATGAGTGAACATATGCACTAAATGTAGACAGATGTATAAAAGTTTGCCTTAAATCTCCTGTGCTCTATTCAAGTATATTTTTATTCTTTATGTTCCCATTTATTCAGAAATAATGTTTTCATGAAACTCTTTACCTTATGTGCAATCAAACACACAAAGGTGCCAATAATAACATAACAAGCCACAGCAGAAATACATTTCATTTTGATTGACATATTAAATGCCACTGGCAAGTGTTTTTTCCACAGCTATGTTCAGTAATAGAGGAACATAAATGAGTGAAAAAAAAGGTTTAAAAGAGAGCCTGGAATGAAATGAAAAATACCCACAAAAGCTTGCATATTTCCTGCATGAGCTCACTGCACCTTTATCGGAGCGCAGACACACATATCCTTCATAAAACCGCAGCAAGGCGCATAAATCTCTGAACGGACCGCATGGGGGCTGAAACTCATAAGTATGTCATTTGATCCTAAATCACGGAGAGTCTGGTGAAGTAGCTCCAGTTTTCGGAGCCTTCATCTCCCATATTGATCCGTAAAGAAAAGGCTCTCGGATACCAAGATGAAACCAGAGCAGATGAAGCAGACTCTGCTGTCTACTTCATCTCAATCAAAACACTGGACTGGGCCACACGTGGGCAAAACACACCTCCATCACTTTTTGAGCCTCAATCAAATAAAAATAGATCAGTGAAAATAATGTTTAAATGGAATATCTTGGACCTTTGGGTTTGCAGTGGGAAGGTCCTGGACTCAGAACCCGGTCTGTGGCTCAGGTCCCGGTCCGGGGCTCGGGTCCCGGTCCGGGGCTTGGGTCCTGGTCCGGGGCTCAGAACCCAGTCCGGGGCTCGGGTCCCAGTCTGGGGTCTGTCTGCAGGGGGTTTGCATCTCTCCCTCTGCATGTGGTTCTTGTCCCAATCATGTATTTATTACACAAATCATTCTGCTGAGATGAGAGGGGATCATAAAGTCTTTAAAAACTGATTTGCTTCACTATGATCTGAATTTTTGATCTGAACATTTTGAATTCTGGTTTACATGTTTCATAGGCCAATGGCGCATCTCCATTTTTAAGGAAATCAGATAGTCATTTTGTCATTCAAAGAGGTTTCATGGTTAGGGTTAGGGTTAGGTATCATTGACAACACAATGATAGAAATGTGGTTTTAACCTGTATGGCCATTTTCATACAATGACTCATGCAAAATACACAATCTCTACTTTTGAGATAGTAGGAATGGCAAGAATGTGCAACTAAAAAAGTCATTTTTTTATTACACTTTGAAAGCATTTCCATAATATCAACAGAATATACAAGGAATATGTACTTGTTCCTTGTTCCTTGTACAAAAAAACAACAAACTTACATTTTTCCAGCCACTGGAACTCAGTGCTGAATATATATAAAGATTTCCATAAACTTGTAACCACAGTTGAATTAAATATACAGCTCTCTTTATGTGATATGATACTATCACATACCATCTGGTATTTCAGATGGTTGAAAACTTCTGGTCACATTGATATCATAGGAAGTGCAAGAAAAAAAATCTCATCTTAAATCATTTAGAGAGTTGCTATTTTAATTCTTCATCTGTGTGTTTTCTCGTCTTTCAGAAAAAAATCCCTAATCGGAGGATACCATGCCGGCAGAGCGCTCCCTCCGGTTCGTTCTTTGCTCGGGACAACACAGCCAACTTCCTGGCCTGGTGCCGTGAGGTCGGAGTGGGTGAAACATGTCTCTTTGAGTCTGAGGGCTTAGGTGAGTTGAACTGGGTTTTTCCCATTCATATCAGACCGCCACCAAATCCGAATGTAGGACAATCTGGCTGCGCTAACAAAGAACCCAACTCTGGCACTGCCAGGACACCGGACTCGGGTTTCTGGCTCCTTTCAGAGCATTAATTGTGCAGGTACAATAGTGAGCAGAATGGACTGTTTACCTCTGAGTTTCACAATCCTCACTTCCACTATGGAGGGAGTAACTCTGCATGACAAGAAGAATGTCTGAATTAAATCACAGAAATGAAACAAATGGACATAAATGTGTAAGTGAAAAACAAGGCCAACGCTGTCTGAGTTTTTCTCCCTCTATAAATATTTTTCTCTGCATTTCTCAAGCCTTTTTCCCTTGCATGTTATTTTACTCCAAATAAATGTCCTCGAGATAAGGTGCAGAATGTTACAGGGTCATTTACCACTTTTCTTTTTACCACAGAAGGCTTATCATTGTCAAGTATGCAGATAATTTAATTTCTAGAGGTCAGGCAGCATACCGAGTAAGAGGTTAACACTGAATTACAATCCCCTTCTAGCCTCGCAGAGATGCAACTGTGATTAAAATCTGTGGAAATATTTCCAGAAACAGTAGCTGATGGATTTCTTTCTCTTTCTGTCCTTCTTTCTTTGGATAAACTTATGAGTTCAGCAGTAGAGGTGTCGACACCCAGGTTTGCTCTCATACAGTGGATCTCCTTTCTGCATCGCATGGTTGGATGTGTGACATCTTTCGTGTCTTTTTGTCTGCGCACTTCCTGCTTGGTTTGCCATTGGTGGAGGTTAAAGCGAACGTCTCAAACTTCGGCAGATTCACTCACTTTCATGTAATTTGTAGGGAAGAGAATGAAGGAGTTGAGTGACTTTTGAATGCATGGAGTTCATCAGCTTGTTTTTATGTGTTATTCACCATCACCAAGCCACTCATCTTCACTCATTGCCTTGTTTTTTTGATGCATTATTGTGTCTCATTATAAAACTGAGCGCTAAGCTTCGGTCTCTTCCTGTAGTTCTGCATAAGCAGCCGCGAGAGGTGTGCCTCTGTCTACTCGAGTTGGGTCGGATATCATCACGGTTTGTTCCAGTTTTGCTGTTTTCATTTTTTGTTGTTTTTGGGCCTCGATATGATTCATCTGATTGTGTTTATTATATATTTTTTTCACGTTTAGCTACAATGTGGAACCTCCAGGCCTTATAAAACTGGAGAAAGAGATCGAACAAGAAGAAAGGGCACCTCTACCTCCCCCATCGCCCATATCCCCGGCTCCGCCTGTCCCTTCATCCCCTTCTTCTTCCCCGTCCCCGTCTTCTTCACCGACACCGACTTCAACTCCGACTACGACCAAAGTCACTTCGTCCAAGAAGAGCGCAGGCAAGCTCCTGGATGATGCTGTGAGTCACACACGGGTCACTTTTGCATTTCAAATCAGATCAGAAAAATGTGCAAAAGTGTTTTATGTGTTACAGGTGAGACATATCGCTAACGATCCACCCTGCAGGTGTGCAAATAAGTTCTGCGTGGAAAGACATTCACAGGGTCGATACCGTGTTGGGGAGAAGATGCTCTTTATACGGGTGAGTTTATCAAATGCCTGAATGAAACAAATAGAGTTTAAATATCACCAGAATAAAAATAGTATTAAATAAATCAGGGGTCTTTGAATCCAGGCCTCCAGGACAAGAGTCCTGTAATGTCAGTACATTTGAATCAAGCAACAAGGTGATTAACAGGACTCTGAGCAGTGAGGAAGTAATTCATCCATTTGATTTAGGTGTGTTAGAACCTGGGATACATCTAAACGTCACGGGGAATCAGCCTTCAATGCCTGGACTTGAAGACCTTTGCCATAAATAGTACACTGTAAGCTGTAAAATTTCAGAAAGTTAAGATTTATTGAAATTGTGTATTTTTCTTCATTTTCTCTTAAATACTTGCTTAACAAAATTGACAATAGATCTTCTATCTACAGGAACAGTATACTTAAAAAATACCATTTGTTTTGGCAGTCGCTAGCTTGTAGTTTCTACCAGTGTTGAATGACAGCAGGCCAGTGCATGTCACCTTCCCTGCTTCCTCTTGAACAGCACAAAGCCGGGCAACGTTTTCGACAGTATTTGTCTGATTTACTGGGAAAGGTGATGCAGCACTGTGATGACAGCTAAAAATATGTTCCAGATTGCTTGACTAAAAAAAAAAAAAACGACACACACATCTGGTATTTCAGATGGTTGAAAGTCAGACAGAGTTGTTCCAATTGGTTAACGAACCAACCCATTAAAACTGGTGGATTAAGCTTAAAAGCAAAGAAATCAAATATTTACATTAACCTCTTTTATACTCAGAGTACAACAGAACAGATACAACATTAGAAATCCAAAATAAAGGAGAAATTATTTAGTTGGCACTACATTTGCAAGTTATGTGCCTATGACGAAGGTAATAATGCAGTTTACGTGTTTTTTCTCGACTCATTCCAATCAAGTTGAAACTTATCTACCACAGAATGAATATCTTCTGCCTTTCACTGCAGAAACAGAATATTTCTTTCCTGTCGGCCTGATAAATTGCTGGTGTAATACCAGCGCAGCAGCATTTCTGAATGTACTGCACAAAAGTGGTCCTCTAATGTGCTCCAGGTGGTTGTGCTTAATCCGACAGCACAATGGTTTCTCATGCAGCGCAGCCTGAGGCCTGACCGTCAGGTGCGTCCAACACTGATTCCTGGCTTGGCTCTTTAGATGTTGGGAGTTCCAAAATCTTTTCTCAATATCGTGGGCTGAAAATGCTTTTTCATATAAAGTGTGTGTGTGTGTTACAAATGGTTCAGACATCAGCAAACTCTTATGTGGATAAAAATCTGAGTCAACCATTGTTATAAGCTCTTAATCAGAGATAATGCCACACTCTTGCTGTGTGGAAAAATAAACATCCACCTATAACCACATATTCTAATTGCCAGGGTGTTACTTCAGTCATTAAAAACCAAAAAAAAAAAAAAAAAACCTCTATTTGATCTGAGGAACACAATTAGCTGTGAGCACAGTAAATGTTTCTCAGCTGTCCATGAGCAGAGGGATGCCTGGTATTTGAGGAGGATAAATTGAGGCTAACCGAGAATCTGTCCTCCTGGGATTCTGGTTACTTGGCAACCCACATCCAGGATTCACACATCCAACTATGTGATTCATGCCAGTGGTATGTTTGAGATCTGCAGGCATGCGAACGGGAGTTTACTCTTGGATGTCCTCTGCTGCCGGCCCAATAAACTGCACCACAACCAAAATCTAAATATGCCACCCAATCATCTCTAGATTTCTGCAAGGTTTTGGTGAAATAATCTGCAGCTAGGACAATCAGAGCGTTGCTGCTAAGATGAAAAAATTTCTGCCACAATAACATGGTGTGAATGTAAATAATTAATGACTCTAAACCCATTAGTTCAGGCTCCAATGTGTAGCTAAGAAACCAAAGACAAATAACAAGAGGCAAAAATTGTTGGTACAGATCAATCTGGTACACAGCATACACCTTGCAAAGTCAGGTCTACTTTTTATCTCTGCGACTGGCAGCATAAACGAACGGAAAAGGCTTGAAATCATCTGTTTTTCCAAACCAAATCCCGAACAATAACTAGAGATCTCGTAACAGAGAGAACAGGCGCTTTTATAATGCCAAGTAAAACCAGCATTAAACGACTGTCGCTCTGTCTCTCAGCCAGCTCTCTTTATGGTGATAACGCTTTAATTAACATTCCTCACATGGTCTCCCTGCGAGCAGCTGCTACAGTAAGGCCAGTCGGCGTCTGCAAGCAGCTGGGGTATGGCAAGCCGTTTGTGTAAATATTCCATCCTTGATTGCAGCCATCATTTGTGGCCATCAGCTGCAAAAGAAAAAAAAAACCTTTATAAAGTAAATTTTTATGTCAACTTTGAGTCAGTTTAGTCCACCTCGGAAAAGTTGGCACCCAATCGCCTTCAAATTAAACAAATCCGATGTTAAGAATTTGTGCACCAATTTTTTTTTTTTTTTTTTTTTGCAGCAAATGACCTCTGTGAAAATTAGCAAATATTTTTTATAGTTCATCAAAGGTCAACAAGCCAAGTCAAATGAAATGCGGTGTCAATCAGCTGCACTACGTTTAAGCAGCAAAATGGTTTGCTTGTGCCACTATCATTTTAAAGATACTAATAAATGTTTCCAGAGGTCATCAGAGGTCAGCAAACCAGTCCACATTTACAAAATCAAATGAAATTGGTGCCAGTCAACTGTCTTACATTTGTGCTGGTTTGTGCAGCAAAAATTTCCGTTTGTTTAAGATAATTTTTAAGATTGTAAAACAACAAAATCAAACAAAATTGGCATAAGTGAATCGTACTGTGTTTGTGTGGCTAAGACGTTTAATTTAGTTTAATTTGAAGAAGGTTTTGGGGGAGGTCACTTCACTCAGGCCTTTTGTCCATCTAGTAGAATCAGAAGTCCTAAGAAAAATGCACATTAGTCAACCAGAGGCAGTCAACATGTTCACGAGACGCCTGACCTTCCCCTCTGTAGGAATAAATGAGCTGCTTGTTGTTTCAGCGTGAGACGGTGGAGAAACCTCAGAGTGTTTCTGGACGGTGGCGTCCCCGCTCGGCCCCCAGGCCTCCGCCGTCCTCTGGGTTCCTGATGAAGGACTCGTCTCAGGCAGGAGTCATGTCCCAGAGCAGCATGATTGAAACCTCGCTGCTTCACACAGATCCATTAAGTGCACTGTAACAAAGCCCCGGGCCGAGTGCAGCTGATTGGAAGTGCTGCCCCACTGCTGCCCCCTAGATTGATTCTTGTAAGAGACTTATAAATGTTGTATGTTATGCTGCTGGAGGGCAAGAAGCCTCATATCTGACCACACTGAAGTGACAAGGTCCTAGGTAGTTTATCCTTTTTATCAACTGTCATTTTAGTCATCTCTACAGTCTAATAAGGCATTATGATTTTTTTTATGTACCCTGCTTCAGTAAACAAGCTTGTTTCTGCTGAGGTGTAATAAAGTGCTAATTAGGAAAACTGGCAGTAAGCCTTCGCTCTGAGGCAGACGTGTTTCATGAGCATGCGAGCGTTTGATCACGCAACACAGCAGCGTGTTTTATTTCTTCTTTTTACTATAATGGGTAATGTTGCCATGGTCGCCAACCTCGGGAAATGTGCCCCGATGTGACAGGTGTCATCATGCTAAGGAAAGATTGCTGCAAAAAAATAAATCACTTTATTGAATTGTGAGGCAAACATAGCACAGATTTAGACAGTTTGAGTGAAGAAACCGGCTGGGTATTTTACAGCCATACTGACTGTGGCGATAGCTGCTGTTTCACTAAGATCCAAACTGAAATAGGCTGTTTAACATCCTAAAAGATCTTTAATCATCACAAAAAGATCAAAAGTTGAGGTGGTGCATTAAGAACCATTTTTGATCTTGCGCTTTGAGAAAATGGAAACATGAAGCATCGGCTAACAGTATTTATACAGATATCAATTTAGATAAATTGGGACATATTAAAATATATTCAATATATTGGTGTGTTATGTTATCTTTATTTTATTATTTTTTATTTTTTTTTTTACACACCTTGAAAAAGTATGCATGTCCCTTAAACCAGGGTGTCAGATTCATTTTGATCTGGGTGTGGCAGAATGCTCTGATAAACTTACATACTAAGTTTGACACATCACATTTTGTCACATTACAACCAACACAATTTGTCTTTTGACTTTACTAATTAGGTGTTAATGTTGTTCTGGATTTTATTTAGGTGAGTCAGGATAAATGGGATTGAAAAATTTATTTTTCAGTCTCCCCCATAACATAAATATTAAAATATATATATATATATATTTTAATGTTTATGTCAAGAATTTTGGAAACAATTAGTCTCTTTCTGATCCAACTTTATATTGGTCAATCAAATAAAGTCCTAATAAAATACTTTCAAATCTGTGGCTGCAATGTGACAAAATGTAAAAGTTCTATGGCTATTAATTAATTTCCCAGTTACTGTAGACTTTCTCCTACAAAGCCTTCAGCATTTTTTAAGAAGTTTATTACAGATTTTCATCAAGATGGCAAGTAAACCTGTTACATAAATGTTTGTTTCTGAATGACGTCTTAAACCAGCTTCGCCCCGATTCAACTTCCTGTTGCAGATGCTGCACAACAAGCATGTGATGGTGCGGGTCGGCGGAGGCTGGGAGACGTTCGAGAGCTACCTGCTCAAACACGACCCCTGCCGCATGCTGCAGATTTCCAGAGTGGAGGGAAAGATCTCCCCCATCAGCACCAACTCCCCCAATATCAAAGACCTCGCCCCGGACAGCTACCTGGTGGTGGCGGCCCACTACCGCAGCAAGAAGTGAAACCCCACAGCAGAGTGGTTCTGGTCACAAATGGACAGGGTGTATGTGTGACTGTAAGTCCACACAAATAATGGGGCTTTGCTATGCAAACACAGAAAGAACCGACTTGTTAAATAATGATTTATTTAGGGGGGCAAAAAAAAAAAATAGAAATTATGGTTCGTATAGTTTTCAGTTTAATTTTGTGCTTCATCTTATTTTCTTTAGCGTAGAAAATCCTCATCCTTTATTTTGTTGACAATTACAGTGTAGGGGGTCTAACAGGAGTTTAGCAGGGAAGTTGTAGATGTTTGTGACATTTGGTTTTAATCGTTAGTTGTACTTGAAGCAAGAGTGAGTATTCAGACATCCTATGTAAATCTATTAGTCTACATGCAAAAGTAAACATCTTTTCATGTAAACCAGAGACGGATTCATCAGCACCTTTGTGAAACTAACATCTTGTCATGTAATACCGTTTTAACACAGTAGGCAGGAGATATTCCACAAGTATCCATATTTTGATGTTTCCAACTGATTTTAACTTTGTACTATCCAAAGCTTTAGATTTTGTCTTTGCATAATAGAAAACATTTCTCTAAAATCCTATTTCTTTCAATAGATTTCTGATCTGGTTAAATGTGAGCAGTGTTTGCACGACATGCAACATTCCCACTTTAAGCTGATTTAATGTCTGAAGTGTGCCATAATCTTCCTTTCAACAACACAATCTCACGCAGAACTGAACCAGAGGGTTTTTTGACTTATGAAGCTTCTTGTGTTTTTCTTTTTGCGTAGAGTTACTGACCTCTAGTGGAATAACAGAGATCAACATGAAAATAATATGACTTTTGGTTTGGAGTCTCACAATAACAGACAGTACCTGTATCAAAGCTGAGCTCATTGAGATATGTGACTTTTTATAGAATATTATGTTGGTTTTGTACTAAGAATAATGATTAAAAACCACCAAGTTTCTTGGAAGTGAAAATCTTTTTTTTAAGTAAACTGTAAAAGACTCATTCTTTGTGACAACCTTCTCTTATTTCCAAATATCAAAATCCTTGAACAAGCTTCGCAATTAAAACACCTGTAAATGTTCATCTGATGCCCTGCAGACGCAAAGCCAGAAGTTGTCATTATGTGTTGTGAAGTAAAACCAAAAATGAGCATCTGGAGTCCAAACACATAACAGAAATGTGCTTTATTAACTGTAGCAACACCATTGGCTATACTCTTTCTCCTACAAAATGGCAAGAGCACCAGAAGCTTTTGAGGATCATGCAGTTTTAAGAAAAGATCTCAGTTAAGTTAAGCACTTTGAAGAATATTCACTACATTGTCATCCAGCACCATATGTGAGAGTACAAAGGCAAAGCTGCAGTCTCCAAAAAACTGTGAAAGAAGAAAATAAATTACTGAAGAATTATGAGTTGTGGCATATTCATTCAACAAACAGTAATACTAGTTCTTAAATTAAACCAAATCATATTAGTGCTTTACAGTTAAATTCAAATGAAGAAATTCAACCAGTGCAAAAGAGCAGGATTATCACTGATTTATAAAGTGCCGTAGGTCACATGCACAAGGGTGATGAGGGCGAGCCTGGTCTGGAAATATTTTGGCCTGTTTGTCATTGATGCATATCATCAGATCGTGGCTGAATGTGGTCAGCAGAACAACTGAAGTGTTCAACTAAATCATGTCATCAGCAGAGTTGAAAACATGTTTGTCCCCACAATCCAGTGCAAAAAATGAAATTAAAAAGTCCAACACATCGTGAATTGTGTTCCTTAACAGAAAGGTGATGTCTGTCAGTGGCCTATCCACTGTGAATGTCACCAACATGCCCAAGTCACCAAATACACACAGCTCAGCTTTTATAGACTCGCGTTTGCGCAAGTTATTATGTTACCAAGAAGCTCTGACCTAAACCTTCTTCAGGACTGAGGGGAAAAAAAACATCTTAATTACAGAAGAAAATTACAAAAAATAAACTACGATCTCTAAAACTGATGACTCGTTTTCTTTAAATGATGAGCCCTGTTTAATCGCAGGTATTGTTGTTACTAATATTGCCATGTTTAATCAGAAGATTGAATAGTAATGTCTCATCCTCAACCTGTTCAAACGTCCTAACCTGTCCTTAATAACTTGGCAAATATGGTTTAGTTTTCTGACTGATATGATGACTATCAATGCTTGTAACAAACAATCAAGCAAAAAAAAAAAAAAAAAAAAAAAAAAAGTTCAACTGGGCAGCAGTTCCAACTTTTTCAAGTAATCCAGCAGACAGACTAGATTTGGACATTTTAAGTCCAACTTCTCCATCAGGAACTTCATCCAACCTGCCACTGAAGACAAAAAGAAACAACAGAGCTGGTTACATATCTAACATGAAACCTGTACATATGTAACACTGCTGTAAATGCTATCAAGATCAAAGTTCATTTTGATATACATATCAGAGATAACAATAATTATAGCCCTTTTTATGGCAAGGATTAGTGTAGTGTAATGTATAAGCGTCCTACAGCTTTACCAAAAGATACAATTGAAGTTTAAACTTAAAATGCACAGAAAGAAGCATGAAGCCAAAGCTACACGTACCTTCAGTCCACCACCACCAGACACAGACGTGGTCATCGTCTGTTTCTCAATTTCTTCCTGTTTCTTTCTTTTCCTTTCAACTGCTTCTGGATTTTTGACACCCCTGTACGCTGTCTGGAAGTCAGAGAGAAAGTGGAGAAAAAAAATTAAAACCCAGCAGGAAATGGCAATGCTCATTTCTGATTTCATTGAATGTTAGGGTAAATACTGTGTAAACGGGCATGCATCTGTGTTTTTAACAAGATATTCCATTTCAGCTCCAACCTATCAGAATAAAAGGCACGAGCTAGTGTGCACACATTCAACCGCCAAATAAGGCATTGCAGTAAAAAGACGCAGCAGCTTCTTTCACTCTTGGTCTGCTGCCTACTCTATCGGTGGGTTAGAGCTTTGTGCTTTTGCTTGCAGCAGCCTGAACTGTAAAGGTCAACACATAACAGTGACTGAGAGCAGAGAAATGTGGCAGTAAAAATACTGGCCAACTTCAGAAGTTGGCTTTCGTTTCGATCTGAATTGACTTACCTTGATTTAACTTTAGTATGGCTCTTGCTGGTTTGCAAGTGTCTTTTCTGCACAATAGAAAAATGCTTACCACACTGTGCAGCAGTTCTTAAATAAAAGTTACCAAATGTTCAGTTGTTTATAATTTTGAGTACATGAATAGCATGGCTGAAAAATGATATAGAAAGGAGGCATTTTATTTTTTTTTCTTTATGACACACTGTTGTTGTACTGTGACTTTTTTTCTATGAAGGTGAATGTATTTACCATCAATATATTTTAGAAAAGGAGACCTTTGGAAATGGTAAAAACTGTGTACTAATGGCAGCGAGAGCAGTTAGCGAAAGGTTGCCCAATCCCAGCTCACTGCTGCCTCATCAGCTTCGCTTCCGAGCATTAGAATGGGAAAATGCAAAAATTCTGCAATTCTGGAGAAAAAATAATCAGAATTGGTTAAGCTAAATGAAAAATAGGTACTTTACAGTACAAACCACAAGGTGAAAATAGCAATACAAGTTATTTTATTATTATATTTCCATAATTTTATAGTTCCTCCCCTGACCACATGTCACTGATTTTTATTCAACCTTCCTTGATTCAACAATCATAAATAAAATACTTCAAAAGTCATTTATTTAACTGTGTGTCTTTGTGTAGTTTAATCTTAGTCAGCTGTCATATGCAGGCCACACAGAAACATCCAGAGGAAGAAACACCACTGACTGCAAGTTTAAAGGTCGAGCTGGTTATGAAAAAAATATATCTACAGTAATCCACTTTTTAATCCATAAACCAAAAAAAAATACATTTTTGGCCCACAAGCAAAATGTTGCCTGAACATATAATCCCACTGTGAGACGGTGGTGGCAGCATAATGCAGTATGGAGATGAGGCTTTGAATTAAGTTGGTTAGAGTTGATGGCGCTTTAAAAGTCGTTTTATGAGGTTTATTTATTGAGGCTGGAGTTTACTACTGAGAAATTAAATGCACAGTCAGGGCTGAATGACCTAGTCAAAACCCACAGAACCTAAAACTACAGGAAAATGTTGCTCTACAAACAAAAATTGTTAAAAAAAAAAAAAAAAGCAAACCAACCCTTACTATGCACCACTTTGTGTTGGTCTAACAAGACTTGTTGATGGGCGTAACCCTGGGCCACTAAGTTAATAAAACCACCTTAACTGACTCAAAATCTGCAACGGGGACCACTACTGACCTCTTTTTGTCTCTTCTCAGCGGCTTCAGCCAATTGTTGTCTCCTCGTCTCCTGTTTGGGACAGAAAACTATGAAATGACACTGATAGCATGTCGCTGTTTACTGTAAACCCGTTAATGGGGACCTTTTCAGTACGAAGACTAATTAAAATATATTCTTCTGGTTTATTTAGCGACATATCTAACAGAAAATGTAATTAATCACATTAACTTACAGGATCCGGGGTGACAACAACGTCGTCCGCGGCTCCACCAAGGCACGGTAAGCACATTCCCATTCTGGAATAATTTTATTATTCCACGCAGTAAAAGAACGGCGTAGAAAATGAGTTTTCACTGTTTCCAATAAATTAAACCAGAAACCTAATAGGACAACTTGCATGCGTAGTAAATAAGGCGAAAGAAGCGGCAGCTTCTACTCCAGCTGGCAGCCGCTGGGTCAGCGGACATACCGTTTCCGTTAGCTAACAGCGGCTCCTGCTATTGGCCCGGGGTGGACATTAGCATTCTAGCTACCGCCTAGTTTAAGCTACCGCTACAAGCCAAACTGCTTCTTTGAGTCACATAATAAAACGTTTCCCTCCGCACCTTTTATTAAACCGGCGCCGCATTTGGAAAGTAAATCGCCCCGGAGTCAGAAACCTAGAGTTCAACGCGCCTCTTTGCCCGTTAGTTTGTGTAGCTTTACTGATAAAGCCAATGTGTTACGTCGGTTACGTTCAATAACCGTACGTTAATAAGCGCCGATGACGTCATGTGCATTTAGTTTTAACGTGGTCAAAATATGACATATAATACAAAACAAAGACAAAAGTCGTCTTTTTTTTACAGTTGACAAAATCTGAAATATTGTTTTTATTTTATTTTCTTTCTGAAATGAGCCTCGTTCCAGTGTATATACAGCAAACAGCTGTGACTGGAAATAAGTACCTTGTGATGATTTACCTTTATTGAAAGAAAAAAAAATAGAAGCATGTTTCTCGAGCCTTAATTTAGTTCTAAATTATGTTGGCATAATGTAGAATTATGTCTATTTAAAAATAAAAACGTGTAATAGTCGTTCAAATACCCAAATTTGCACATAACTTTAATTTCTTGGACGGCGTTGTTTTTCTTTTTCTTATGTAATAATATGAAGTAGTGCTGTCTACTTGAGTGCAATTTTTTTTGCACTCATTTCAGATGAAGATCATGTAAATTAAAAAAAAAAACAAAAAAAAACAAGAAGACAGTGACACAAAATTTTGATAAGTAGAAATAAAAAAGAAAAAGTTTCGATTTGATAGTAATTAATTTCTTTGAGGGAATTCATTGTGAGTCAAGTTTTATGCATATCATTGTGTTTATGTATGTCTATAAGAAACCATTCTTCCTATGGATGGATGAAAACATGGAATAAAAATTTTAAATAGTTAGTTTATTATATATTTTAAATCACTCCTTTGACTACATCAAATAATTGTTTGGGAATGGCATTAATCTCTAACAATTTTTGTTATTGTGAAGCATGACAAAAAGGTGTATATTTTTTCAAATTCTTGACAAAACATTAACAAGAATGTAGCTCATTGTTGTGCGTGCAACAATGAGCCCCTTAAATCCGCTCCTACAGCACCACCTTGTGGTCAAAATTAATATGTCAATGATTTTGCTCATCAGCTTTGACACATTTGTACCTCTATTTATTTTATTTGCTTGTGGATTGACAAGAATAATTTGTCCTCACTTAATAAAATGTACTCTGTGAAGAGTGCTGCTGGTTAAAAATAATGCTCACATTTAACTTCACTTCAAATCCCAGGCTTAATTTAGCAAATATTTTTTATACACAGATTGTTTTAATTTTTGTGACAAGTTTTGAATGTTTCTGTCCATGTGACATGGCTCTCCCTTGAGTGAGTGGAGGATATCCTCTGTTGTTACCCTTGTTGTCAGCAACATCTGTAAAACCTTGTGTGAAGTGAGTGATGTTCTGTAGGGCAGGAGCTCCGTCCAATCAATGCTACCCGATCAATAGTCTGAGAGTTTAATGTCGTACTCCTCTTTACTGTCAACAACTCCACCTATTCATCTTCACTGCAGAGCCTGCCTGGGCTGTTTCACAGCTCCCTGTGCTGCGCTGTGGGAGTGACAAGTTCATGAGACTGGACAGCCTTTGGAAGTGCAGAATTTATTGTTTTAAAGCATTTCAGAAAGAAAATATATAGGGAGGTTGTAGAATGCAATGGAATACATGGAGTCAGATGCTGCTGGTACTTCTTCAGGTAGGTTGACCGCACCATTGAGTTTAGAGATGGAGTAAAGCTGCAGCAGATTAAATAAGTAATTATTGCAACTTGGTTTGTTTTTTGATCGTTTGCTCTGTTGCATTCTGTTCACCTACTTGCACAGAAAACATGAACAAAGTATTTAAACTCACAATTTTGTGGAAGAATATGTTCCATTTATAATGTCTTTGTTTTACTCTTCAGCATGTTGCTGGTTGTTTTGAATCTCCATATGTTGGGATTTTATTTGCAGAACTTTTGAAATCCATTTTTAACATTTCAGAGTAATGTACCAGATAATCACAGTACATGAGAAACCTACCATTAATGAGGATGAAAACTGATCCTCTGGGCTTAACTTATTCATGAAGATTGCAGATGGATAAATGGATGAATGGATATACATAAAGAGTGTCAGTTTCAACACAGCAGTGGTCCTTGAACATTTTCTTTACAAACAGACAAACCCAAGTGGTTTCGACTTCATACTGTAGAAATCACGAGTTTCTCAGGTATATTCGATTATTAAAATATTACACTAGAACAATTATCTGCTGTAACAAATGGAAGGGTATAGTCAAACAAAAATCCTACAATCATGTTCGGTATAATTGGTTTCACTTTAACTTCACTACGTGAAACCAAAACCAATTTGTTACAGTCTGGCATTGCCTTTTAAGCAAGTCCTTTGATTTCTCTTTTTTTATCCAGCAATTTTAGTGTTTCTAAATTAAAATAAATTCAAATCAAAGCTGCAACTATTCTAGTCAATACTTATGCAGCTAATGTGTGAATACTGTGAACATTTAGCTGCATGAAAGGCAGGAGGCTAGGTCAGCACAGACTCACTCTGCTGCGCACAAATCAATACAAGCATGTAGTTAGAATAGGTCTATTATTTTATTTAAGATTAATAATATTATTCATTTTTTTAGCATGTAGAAGATTGATCTTATTTAAGCTTTTTACCCCATTAACTGAATTAGTTACATTTTCAGCATACCTTTTTAAAGGGGTGAGTGAAACATCTATGCAGCCTTGAGTGATCACTACTTACTGATGTAAGCTGTTTAAGTGCTGTTAAAAACACACACCGGCTTTGAGTAGTTAGGATGGATGCTGCAGGATGAATCCCAAACATCCACTTTAGCTTACATGTATTATTGCTGTTAAACCACCACCTGGTTGCGTTCACATTAAAATATTTTACGATTTTGGACTGGAGATATTTTTGACTCAAAAGCAGAAACTGAATTTGAAATTTCTTCTGCTTGTTAAAAAATGCACCGTGGAGTTGCAAAGTAACAACATTTTCAAAAGTCTGGTCATTTTAAAGATTTACATACTTTATTCCTGTTATGAGATTCACACTTGGCTTGTTCATCACATTTTTTTTTAACTTCCTGATGAAGAAATTCAGTAACTTGGGGATTTTAAATGTGTGTCCAAACAAATAATCAATGCCTTAGGAAGTGCAGGAAGTACCTGCTCATCAATCGATCTTTGTAATGTTTCTTTGCTTTTGATAGAATAAGGACAGTTTATCATTGCACTTAGGCTGCTGAGCTGTAATGGACAGAAGTGGATTTAAGTGATGTGTTTTTTCTTTCAGAGAAGCCTTAGCTTTGGAAACCTGGATATAGATTTATTTTTATAAAAGTCAAGCTACCTCTCAAAATATTTATGCTTATGTTGTTATGTTTCAAACACATTTTATACAGTTTATGTGGCGTTAAACCTGAAGTGTTTTCAAATCAAGATACTAGTCACAATAGCAATCAATTTTTCAATTAGAGTATACCCAATGACGACTGGTGTCTATTGAATGATGTTTCAAATTGTTATTTTAATCTTGGTAAAATTGTTATTATTTTAATCTTAATCTTGGTAAGATAAGATTAAATTTTAGCTTAGAAATGTTTATTTCTAAGCATGTCAAACTAAAGAGGGACTGATTATGTCATATTAAGCGACACACCCAGGTTATAACATCGGGTTTTTGATCGTGTATAAAATTAGACTCCAAATAAATAAATAATTTCCAATTTTCCACCTTCAGTTGGAGAAGTAAAATATGACAGAAAATCAAACTAGTATTCTAGAGTGAAACATTAAAAATGTACAAAATAGCTACAGCAATCTGGTTACACACATATGCACACTAAATCTTGGGTCAATAAGTCGTTTATTGAAAGACTTATTGATCCAGTTTCAGCATTAAGTCTTTAACAAAGCTCTATCAGATTGCCACAGTCTAATTTAATAAATCAGATAGTAAGAAAATCTCTCACCATTTCATTGGTCATAAACTTTTGTCATGTTTAGCTCTGAATTCTGTTTTTTTTTTATTTGTTGATTTTGATGTTTTTTATTGATCCTAAAAAATAAAATCAATCTTCATCTTCAGATTAACAAATATATAGAACTGTTCACTATTTCATCCATCCAGAAAAAAACAAATCTTTTTTTTTTTGGAAGAAAAGTAACTCCAGAGCAACATTGTGCCACTACTATGTTTTATTGTAAACTTGGTGGCCTTCTGGTGATGGACAGTTTTTTTTTTGTTAGTTTTTGTTCCAAACTTAGATTTTCAGAATTGTGGCTACAAGTTTAACTTTAGTTTCACCAGCCAATCACACATCCTTCCAGATCACATACATTCAATCACAAATGGAAGTGAGCCTTCAGTATTTCGTATTAAATCCTTCAGGTTATTGATTTTTGCCCTCTGCAGTTTTATATTGAGTCATTTGATTTCTGTAAAGATCGGGACTGAATCAGAAACTTCCATTCTCTGTGAAGCAATTAACCTTGAAAAGTTTTAAGCCCATTCTGAAACTAATTAAAGAAAGCTGGAGTGTGTAACTTTCATTAAAAAATAAAAATAAAAGTATTTTATGTATTTATTGACAAATAGAAAGAACCAATCAGAGCCAGGCTGTCAATCAAAGTCGGGCACGCGCTGCTCAGTGTGCTAATTACCATCATCGGTGCCCTTGCTAACTAGCCTGAGCATTCACAAAATACTATGACGACAGGGAGAAATTGTAGGTAGCAAAGAGCAAGGGAGATGATGTGAGTGGCGTGAACATGAGCTTGATTGACAGCGTTTAGACTCTCCTCCTGGCTCTGATTGGTTGTTTCTGAATGAACTGTGCGTTTCTGTAGTTAGCACTGGGAGAACTGGGAGAAGGCAGTTTCGTACTATACTGTTACAACATAGTGACATTTTTAACAAACATGAAAGTTGATCAAAGTAACATACACCAGTTTAGAGGATATTCAGACTTTTTTCGGCCATTTAATTTTTTTTCAATAATCTGTAAGGACACATTTAAACTCAGCTTTTTATTTTGTAGTGGATGATAAATCACCACCTGAAGTTTTGATAAGCTTCGCCAGAAGGCACTTAAACAATCAGAGGTACCACATGACGTCACTGAATAAAATG